GAATTATATTCATCCCTGTATCTTCCATGCTGATCAGCACATGGGAAACAAGGCCGTGAAGATGTGCCCATTTTACAGACGAGGCAGTGGAGGCGGGTAGTGTGCGAGTCACCTGCTCTCAAGACAGCAGTCACACTTACCTGGAAGGGAGTATGATGACCACGAAGGTGGCATCCCAGGTGAGGCCCATCCACTGTACTCCAGATGTGGCGCCCCCTGCGATTGCTTCAAATGTGGGAAACTTGACCACATGATATGTGGGGGACTGTGCTCACACTGCCCCCTAAAAGAAAGAAAAAGAGCTGCTAGGTGGTAGGGAAGGGATTTGAACCCTTCTTCATCTTCTCTGTTTGCCCTCTGCCCCCCAACCTCCTCCTGACACTTACGACTGGAGAATAATTTCAAGATTATTTCTGAGAATAAAATCCCCAGGAAAGGCATATTCTATTTTGAAAATCTTAGAAGTTCCCTGATAGCCAGTGATGCCCCCCTCCCAGAAAAACTAGTTACTAACAAAACAACACATGAAACTCCTAAGAGGAGGACCTGGCTCGCTGTCACAAAAGTCAATGTCACTGTTTTTTTTTTCCCAATCCAAACACAAGCATCCCACGACCGTTACTACAGTTAGTCTTACTTGCTTCCACTGCTGATTATGGTCCTGCAGAATGCGTGGAGCAGGACAATACTGATACAGGGAGAAAAGCTGGTCTTGGGTGGGTGACCTCCAAATGATACAGGGAACCTCCAAATGACACGGGGAAAAATGATCTCCCGACCTGACCTGCACGAGTTTGTGTTCTCTAAAACCAAAGAATGAATTTTAGGAACAAACGGAGGCTATGAGCAGAATATATTTATTGAGGGAAAGAAAGCTCCTGTCTGAAAGAGGGGGGCTCACGCGGGTAGTCCCCGGGAAGCTGTCTCTTCCAGGAACATCTATAGTGTAAAACCCCGCGGGGCTAAGGTGGAGAGAGTGGGAACTCCTTAGGTGGATGTGGGCTGGACAGAACTGTGGTCAACCAATGGGATTGCAAGCTCCATTGCTCAGATAACATTGATAAAGTCCAGGACCAAACAGGGAGGCAAATCGTGCAGCGAGCGGGCATGAATGTAGAACAGGACTTTATCCGGTAGCCATCAGATAATGGGTCTTCCTGTCTGTCTCAGGGGGAAGATCAACCTCGGATGCCAGTCTTTAGGGAGGTCAGCACTTGTTTGATCTTTGGTCTTTAGGTCTGGCCCACAGCAGGAGCATCCATCCCTCCCACAGCTGTAAGGTATCTTGCCTTCTGTGTTATCTGCTTTGAGGGCCTGGCCTTGTCTGACTGCCCATAATATTTCTGTCTTATTTGGCTCCCTGCAACAATATGACCACAAAGCCCACGTCATAATGACTGGGGACACACCCTTCACTTAACATCTTAACAAGCTGTCTTCTTAAATTTTGGGGGTTTTTTGGTACCAGGAATCAAACTCACAACCTCATGCTTGCCAGGCAGGTGCTGTGCCACTGAGCTATGTCCCTGGCCCAACAAGATGTCTTAATACCATGTGTTTAAGTCATTAACAAAATCAGTAGATTTACAGACTTAGTCTTATTCCTAATATCCGTGTGTATTTATACATCCTAAGCCAACAGATGGCATGACAGGGCATAAAGTAAAAAATGTTCTGATTTAATTTCACTGGAGAGAATAGAATTTTTCACAAAAGCTGCTGTGTCCTCACTGGTCTGACAGGCTGAGGGCTGAAGGGTAGGAAGTCACTCGTCACCCCTTACGCTCAGTGGAAGCCCTGGGGATTGCTGAGGACCTGTCACTGCTCATCTGAATGGCTTTCGAGAAATCCTCACCCAAATCTGATCTTCCAAAACATTTCATAGACTGATGGATCTGAGTCTCGGAGGCCTCAGGAGTCAGGGCGGAGGTGGACTGAGAGTGTATAAAAGAAGGAGCACACAAAACAGACCTCACAGCAAGGACATCCTCGGCGTGAAAGTCACCGCTAACCCGTACACCACGCCACCCTTTGCTTGCTTTCTTCTTCTAATTTACCTCCTACATGTACACACTTAGCTAGGACCATAAAAGACAGAGCTTTTTTACCAGTCACTGAATTTTTCTCGTCTTTCTATAACCCCATCTCCACACCACATAAGCAGTCAAACCCTCAGTCAACAAGCAACGCTATCAGCTTCCAAAGATAATGGATTGAGGTTGAATGTCCTCTATAGACTCTGAGGAATGTGGCACGAGGCACTGGTACCATGCCCAGAAGCAAGGATCACGCCGATGTCAAGACCATTTTCTGCCAAGACCATCATCAGGGAAGAGTGCTGCAAAGGGACATTAGGAATAAAGCCCTCACTGAACCCACTCCACTGATCCAGGAGAAGGTCTTCCCTTTTAGCCAATGGCTTTGTCTACTTTCATTTTGCCTTCCCAAAATTTGGGTGATGGGAAACCACTCAGAATTTGTCTTGCGCTCTCTGTCCCCAAGTAGCAAAGCACAATTTGCATAGTATTTGCTCAAGGAGATAATGATTGCTATTGCCATTGTCATTGTCATTGGCCAGTTCATGTACAGGAAGCAATGGCTGGGTGATTGCTTTCACACAGAGGAAGGGAAGCAGCACGTTGTTTTCCTGAAGCCTTGGCCGTCTTCGACAAAGCAGAAGACACGCACATCTGCGCTGAGCCACTTCAGCCTTCTAGGAACGCTTGTGTAATCTCAATGCCAATTAGAAACCAGATTATGACTCAGGCACCCCAGTCCCAGGCCCACGACAAGAGGAAAGTGTCGGATGGCTCGGAGGCAGGGCTGCTGATGAGCCAAGCTCCTGAGCCAAGCTCCCGATGACATCAGTCACCAAGTATTCACCTTCAGGGAAAGAGCGGCAAGCAGAGAGGGAGGCATCCTTCCAGGGCTGGAATTGGCTGCCTCCCCAGCCACTACTCCAGGAAGTGACATTGGGTCCAGGTCAGCAGCCCAGCCAGGGTATATAAAGGCCCCAGCCCTGCAGGAGGACATCAGCCCTCACACCCAGCACCTCCCTCCCAGCCTCCACCTCTCACCAGCTCCACCATGTCCTGCTGCGGATCCTTCTCCTCCCTGAGCTGCGGGGGCGGCTGCCTGCAGCCCTGCTGCTGCCGCGACCCCTGCTGCTGCCGCCCCGTGTCCTGCCAGACCACCGTGTGCCGGCCCGTGAGCTGCGTGCCCCGCTGCACACGCCCCATCTGCCAGCCCTGCCCCAGGCCCGTGTGCTGCGACCCCTGCGGCCTGCAGGAGGGCTGCTGCCGCCCCATCACCTGCTGCCCGTCGTCGTGCACGGCCGTGGTGTGCAGGCCCTGCTGCTGGGCGTCCACCTGCTGCCAGCCCGTGACCGTGCAGGCGCCGTGCTGCCGGCCCCCGTGCTGCCAGCCCGCGCCCTGCCGCGTGACCTGCAGGGGCCCCAGCCTGGACCCCTGCTGCTGCTGAGCGCCATGGTCACTGAGTGCCCAGCTTTGGGGAAAGTGGCGTGCACTTCTCCCACCCCTGTTGAGTCAGAAGGGAGAGGCGACTTTAGTAGTGACTGCCAGAGTTACGCCGCTGGTATTGGCCCCCTTTGACAACCTTGAAGAATCCCAGCTCCCATCATTGGACTCCCTGGTTTGAGACCCGCGGACACAGTGAGGCTTCTGGTGAGAGTGCCGCTGCCTCCCAGCTGACCCGTCGCATCTTCCTACAACTTCTCAGTTCTCCAGTGGGAGATTTATTGTTTTCCAGGCTATTACTTTCATGCATGGTAAAAAATAAAATTGTATTTCTGGGAAAGCAATTTTTTATTGTTTCTTAATCCTCAAAAGCTGGTTTTCAGTTTAAATTTTGGTATGCAGAATCAGGAGCACCAAGAGAAGGTTTCCTCTCACAGCTGCGTTTTGAGCCTTTCCATAAGAACAGTGTGGTACAGGGTCTGTCACCGCAGGAGCCATTCAGACAATTCAAATCATCCCCTATTGCCCAGGCACCGTTCTAGTTCAAGCCTACAGTTTTGTCCTCAAGGAAAGGAAACAGTGAGACTGCAGCAGTTGGAGGAACTTCACTCCGGGGTAATCCGATCCCACAATGAGAGGAAGGATGCCCAAGTCACGGCTCCACGTGCTCCCGGAGTGGAGCGCTGCCGTGATTGTGTCTGAGTTTCCCCGGCATTCCCGAGCTCCGACTCCCCTGCTGCAAATCTGTTTGGCTCTTGGTGGTTCTGGGGAGAAACAGCGAGGGGATTTAGAAAATAAAGAGGAGAGGAAAGCCGAGGTCGAGGGAGGCCTCTTTCCACATAGGCCAAGAGGATTTGCCAAGGATGTAGAGCGCTCATTTACACCCGCAGGAGGTTGATGTCTCTTTCTTCCTAGCAACCAATTTGCAAGCTGCAACGGCTTGTGTACGTGGCTGGGAAGCTCCTCTTGTTCTTCAGAGAGCTCTTAGCCTTGGCCCTACAACTGATTTCCAACTTCAGCTGCTCCCAACACTTGCGATGCTGGGACACCCACCGCCCACCCCACCATGGCTCCTGCCCGCACATCTAGGACCAGTTCTGCTTCCAGGGCAGCAGCTGGGGCTGCAAAGACAGACAGGAATTCAGCTTTGGCTGGGCCCATCCTAATTACGAACTCCACATTCATGTTACCACTGGAAATGTGGTTGAGACAGTGATCCCATGAGTCCACACACACAATCCAGGACTTGGCTTTGTTTTTGTTAGATACTTTTAGGAGTCCAGGAAGAGTAATACATGCTGCTTCTCCAAGAAAAAGATTTTGAGTGCCCTGAATCTAACCCGAGTGGGTTGTCTGGATTGTGCTTTGCAGTGTGCTTTTCCTGGACTGAGAGGTCTCTACCGCCTACCCAAAGGCACAGGGCAGTAAACTGTGTTACAGGACAGCACTGATTGACTTTGGATCCCTACTGACTTGCATGATACCTGGCACATAGACTACAATAAGCAGTTATTCATTGAATGCATAAGTTCTAAGAGGGCTGGAAGAAAGACATCAATTCCCAATTTCTTTCTCCCCATTTTGGACATGTGCTTTCTTGTCATAAAACAATAAGCCACCTCCCTGAGGAAAAGTATTTTTCATACCATGTTCTTAAAATATGGTAAAAGCCCCCCCCAAGAAACCTATTTTATTTAAAACCTTTACATTTTCAATAGACATGAAGAGGAATTTTTTCTTTGTTGAGGGTTTGATAGCTACAGTAGGTAGGCTCACAAGTCGAATTTCTTTCCACATATTCTTAGTCACTACTTTTAAAATTTTCTAACTATATCCGTCCTCTTGGCAGAATTCTTCTTAGACTTCTGGAGACTCGTTTTACGATCTTCTCTCCAAAACTTATCACTATTATTGGATCTTACGGTTTCTGTGGAAATCTCGGGCCGGGTCAGCCACGTGGACGATGCAGGTCCCGGCATGATCAGCAGGAAGGAGGGAATCTGAACCTGCAGGTCCAGATCTAGGCGCGCTTGTCGAACGGGAGCAAGTCAGGCGCCCACACCCCAAGGGGCAAGAGCAACCAAATGGCTAGTGGCATAATTTTTCTACAAGTCCCAACAGCTTGAGACAATTAAAGACAGCCCTGTAAGCGTGGAGGGGCTGGGGACCCACACACAGCAGGGTGGGGCGCTGCGTGGGGCGGGGCGGGGCTGGAGCCAGCTTCACGGGGGTCACCACAGAAGGGCTTTGCTCCGAGAGCCAATGGCAATGCTTGTCCCCAGGCTTAGCTTCACCACCATCCTCGACACTCCGGGCGCGTTCATAGGGCCCCACACTCACGGAATTACATGCCTAAGGTGTGTTTTGTTGTTTTCAGAGGGCTAAGTGGATAATAGCTCTTGAAATTCCTGAGGCTGTTGTCTGAGGATATTGGTAAGGTACAGTCTTTTTAGGTGACTCTAAAAATGAGCCATGTCACAAATCACAACTGTTTTAGAAGTAAATATGCCATTAAAATTCCAAAACAATGCAGACATTTGTCATTGCTTGGAAATGTGATCCCCATCATTCATTCTTTGGCTCTTTGGGGTTCCAAAGAGTTTTCTTGCAGGTAATTTTATAATAAGTATTGGTCCCCACGCTCCCGAGGGGCAGGGCCTTAAACCATATATTAATACTGCCCTCCCAGGATTGTGATGCAGAGCAGCTTCACGCCTGTCTTTCATTACGTTTCATGCTGGAAGCAATTCAGCGATACCCAGTGAAGGCGGAAATAGTGAACTTCACCTTGGTTTGGAAGATAAACCCTGAAATCAATGTGTATCTAAGACAAAATGGAAACAAGACCAAAAACTGAGGCCGACATACTCCTGCTCCTCCCAGACACGAAATAACTTTTTAATTAGTACTTTTTGCTGCACATAATGATTATCTCCATGTGGGGATTGGGCACCTGCTCGTAACACACCTTGAAGCTTGCCTTTCTCTGTCCTTCCCTGCCCTACTCCCATTTGTAAAGGGTCTATCCCCCATTTGCTAATTTCTTATTTACCTCTTTATTCATACTTTGGAGACCTCATAAAAAAGAGAACGTGTGATATTTGTGCTCATAAGTCAGCTTTATTTCTCTTAATGTTAATGTTCCATTTTCCTACAAATGACTCTAAGTTATCTTTCTTTATAGCAGAGTAATACTCCATCATAAATGAGTGCATTTGGTTCATCCACTCAATGGTTGATGGAGATACAGGCCGAGGATTCCGGGAGTCAGCTCTTCAGAGTTGGGCTGCTAGACACATGGGTCGTGAGGATCACAGCAACAGGATGTCCTTAACTTCCTCGGGAAGACTCCTAGAAGGGGAATAGCTGGGCTGGACAGAACTTCTAGTTTTTAGCTTAGTGAGGAATCTCCAAACTTATTACAACATAGTGCTGCAGCAATCTTACACTTCCTCTAATAACAAGGAAGGGCTCATTTTCCCCACAGTTTCCCCAGCATCTGCAATCACTTCCCTTCTTAATGAAGCTGTCTGTTCTGGAGTTAGATGGAATCTCAGTGTTGTTTTAATCTGCATTTCACTAATAGCCAGGGATGCTGGACATTTTTTCATGAATTAACTCATCATTTGTACTTCTTCTGAGAAGTGTCTATTCACTTAAATAGCCCTTTTTTATTGGGTCTTTCATCTGGGAGAATGTCTAACTTGGTGTTCTTTATAGATATCAGTTCTCTAAGCAGCAAATGGCACAATTTTTCTTGTTCTGTAGTTTTTCCTTCACTCTCCTGGTTGTTTTCTGTGCAGAAACTTCTCTATTTAACATAAAATGATTTAATTATTGAAGGTATTTCTTGAAAAGCTGGGATTTTGTTTGAGAAATCTTTGCTTATGTCTCTATTTTAGAGTTTACCCATTTTATCTTCTAGTACATTATGTGTTCTTCTTTTAATATCTACATCTGTTTGATCCATTTTTATTTCATTTGAGTATATGGTGAGACGTAGGCATGCCTGTAGCAGTCTTCTGCATGCCTGCAGCCAACCTACTCGGCACCATTTGGGAAGAGGATATTTTTCCTCCCGCGTATGGTCTTGGTCTGTTTGGCGAAGGTCAATGACTGAAGGCTCCTGGAGTTGTCCCTGCATCCTGCACTCTGTTGCATTGATCAGCGTGTCTGTTTGGAGCCGCTGTCATGCTGTCTTTATCCCTGCAGGTTTATAACTTGAGTTCTGAGGGTTGCGATGCTTCCTGCTTCACTCTTGTCGGCCAGGATTGCTGTTGCTATTCTGGCGCCCTTCAGATTGCATATAAAATGTAAGATTGTTGGTACAGGTTACTTGAAGGGTGTTGTTGCTACACTAACTGGGATTACACTAGATCTATATGTCAACATTGGTAGTATAACCTTTTTAGAATACTATTAGTTCTCATTATAGAGCTCATTCTCTTCCTTGGTTAGGTTAATTCCCAAGCATTTAATTTTTCTTGAAGCCCTCCAAATGGTACTATTTTCCTAATCTTCCTCAATGATGGGTTTCATATTGGTGTGCAGGAATGCTATTGATCTTTGTGTGTTGATTTTGTGTTCTGCTACACTGCTGAATTTATTAGTTCTAGGAGACTTTTGGTGGAATTTTTGGTATCTCCTACTTAGAGGATTGCATCATCTCTGTATATTTTGACTTCTTCCTTTTTTACATGTATCCCCTTTCTTCTTTCTTTTGGTTGATTGCTGTGGTTAAAGTTTTGAGTACTGTGTTGAACAACAGTAACAATAGTAGATGTCTGTCTTGTTCATGATTTTATTTTATTTTTATGTATTTGCTACAGGCTTTTAACACACAGCTCAGGCTCATAGTGATTCTCCTGTTTTCAGTCTCCCAGCACTAGGATTATAGGCATGTGCCACCACGCCAACTGGTGGCTGGTTTAGCACACCCGGGGGTGGGACCCATGTGGCATGTGGTACCAGGGATGGAACCCCAGCCCCTGTGCTTGCCTAAGC